GGAGTGCCAGTGAACGTTCCCTAATGCTGGGGGCACAGCCCCGAGCCTTGGGGACCAGATCCAGGCAAGCTGGGGGCCACAGGTTCCCCATCCCAGATTACAGGCTTCACCAGTTATAATTTGCCAGTGGAAGGTCCAAAGGATGGTGATTGTAAGCTCTGGTTCTTTTCATTATATGGGGTCACAGTATTTAATTCAATGAGTCCCCATCCTAACTAAGACCTTTAGGTGCTACTGCAACATAAATAATATATGTCAAAATACCAGCGGTGGCTTTGAGAAGTAGAGTTGTTAGACCATTCCATGCATAAAAATGATCATTTCACTTTCAAGAGGTCAAGATTTACTTGCAGTGGTCTCAGAGACAGTTCAATGCTAGAGAAGTTTTGGGCTGTATTTGACCAATCTCTTTCTGCTATATATGCTTGCAAAATCTGTTAAAACTCATTAAAATCTTGGATTTATTTCAACCAATGCTGCAATCTTGCAGTTTTGTCTTTAACAAGTTGGAAATAAATATCACCCCAGCAGTAACAACAAACCCTGTGAAAACAAATTCACAGATGAGATGGAAGAAAAAAAATTTCTATTAGAAATCACATTTCAGTTCCAAGCTGGAAAGGGATTTGAATAAACAACGAGTCAAAAACAATTTTTTAAAATGATGAATATCCTAAGATACCTGTGTGGAACACACATTTTTCTCCATAATGGACCTCACCAGTAATTTATAGAGCTATTAGAGTGCCTTTGCAAAACCCATCTATGAAGTACAGTCTCTACTACATGCACATTAACAATTAAAAAAGCTGAACTGATTGCTAAAAAAGCTTGCCCACCAGATCCCATTTTGTGCATACATATTTTCATCATTTGTTTCTTAGCTAAGATGTTTTTATTCCCCAACATGAGTTGTTTCTAATCCAATGCATGTAAGCACAAGGGGTGTGTCTAGACTGGCAAGTTTTTCTGCAAAATCAGCTGCTTTTGCAGAAAAACTTGCCAGCTGTCTACACTGACCGCTTGAATTTCTGCAAGAACACTGACTTCCTACTGTCTGAAATCAGTGCTTCTTGCGGAAATACTATGTTGCTCCCATTCAGGCAAAAGTCCTTTTGCGCAAAAGGGCCAGCGTAGACAGCTCAGATTTGTTTTGCGCAAAAAAGCCCTGATTGCGAAAATGGTGATCAGAGCTTTTTTGCGGAAAAGCGCATCTAGATTGGCATGGATGCTTTTCCGCAAAAAGTGCTTTTGCAGAAAAGCATCCGTGACAATCTAGATGCTCTTTTCCACAAATGCTTTTAACGGAAAACTTTTTTGTTAAAAGCATTTGCGGAAAATCATGCCAGTCTAGACGCAGTCAAGAGGTGACTGTGAAGCAGACAAATTTCCTAGCTGCAAAAGATTATGGGAAGAGTGTTGCACAGGGCAGATAAACAGGTGAAGTGCCAGAAGACAGAGGATGTGCAGTGAATTTGTTAGTTAATGTAAAGTAGGTCTTACTGCTGTACACAGTGTACTGGCTGCATCAAAAGGACTGCAGCTAATAGTTCCCATATGTGGCATTTTAATGAATAAGTTGTGTAAACATAACTGTCATTGTCAAGAAATGTAGGTAGGAAAATGTAATAACATGCCCATTTCCACCACAGTGTGATCCATAGACAGAATAAAGATTATATCTTGATTCCCATACCTCCTGTTATTAGGACAGAGTGTGAAAATGAGGTGCTAAATTGATCAAGTACTTAACAGGAAAGACAATGAAATTTAAAGACAGGATAATGCCTGGACTACTGCAGGGAGGATAACATTAAGTTTTTAAAGTTGTAACTGTATTCAACTATTGAGTAGCCATCCCAGAAAAGAGGCTCAAACTCCAATGTTTTAAACTTTTCAAAATGGATTTTATAAAAAACTAGAAAATGGGCACAATCTTATGCTGATGCTTGGGTGGTTGACTAGGTGTGACCTCAAAGTACCTTTCCATCCCTAAGTTCTATGATGCTGTGATTCATTATAGATCACATACATGAGCCTCTAACTCTCAAAAAATAATTACTGTTCTATTCCATTTCTGATTCCAGTTACCTTGCTCTTTGCCACACTGTAATGTCATGCAGAACCTATTTACTGAAATGCAGGGAAGAAGAAAACAGTCAATTCTAAACACTTTCATCCCAATTCTGTTCTCACTTACACCAAAATAAATATAGTGTAAACTCACGGACTTTCCTGGAGCTATTTTAGATTCACATCGGTGTAACTGAGAGTAGAATTTGGACCTTAATTTTGAAACCACGACAATGAGTTCCAGGCCTGGGGACATAAGTCCTCTGGAATCTAATTTTTGTTACATTCCTTTTGGCATATATTGTGGTACACTCTAAGAACTCAAATGTATAGTCATGACAGATGTTGTAAATAAAACCTAAAAAAGTTTGCATTAGATGCTTGGACTTGAGAAAATGTATTGCTGATCATGATTCCAATTCTCAAAGCAACTGGATATTAATAGAAGGCCTCACATACCTTAAGTTTAGTATCTTCAGAATAAGGTGAAGATGTTTGGTTTTCCAGATGTTTTGAAATTTCTTAACATAGAATTTTTGAGGAGGTGGAGTAGGTGAGTTATTCTCTATACTAATCTCACTTAATGTTGTGTTAACATAACACATTTTCCACTCTGGAACATAGAAAACATCTGTAAAAGGTGCTAATCTTTTTGAGGCTCAAGTCAAGGAAGAGATATATTCCTTATAATGATACTAAAGAAGGATAAGAAACATGAACCAGATGCAGCAAATGTTTGCTTTGTTTTGATCAGTATTCATCAAATTCGGACATTCCATATTGGAATGTTTTCTTGACTGTATTGGTTTAGTCGTATGAAGAGTGTAGTGCTCTTTTTCCATTACAAATATGAAACACTAGAATTTATTAGTGCTAAGAAAATCCCACTATTTTAAGCCATGTGGGAAACATTTGAAGCAAAGATTTGTTTTCAGATACATGTATTTGCCTTACATCAGTAAAAACAAATTATTAGATAATTACTTGATAGGTGTCTTTTCATCTCCTATATATTTGAGAGAGTTTGTCTGTATGTGTGTGTGCACCGTCTGTCTGTTTGTTCAAGAACTCCAAAACAGTAAGGGCTAGGACCACCAAATTTGTTATACAGCTTCTTCTTATCATAACTTAAAGCAAGGTCAGGGTCTGGTTACGCCAGGACAACAGGAAGCTGCAGAAAGAGGTCAGCTTTCCATAACATGCAAAGGGAGGAGCTGCTGTTTGGAGGGACACGATATGAGAGTATCCACTGGGGACAGCCGTACAACCAAGGGTATGGCCAGCAGGGCTGGGGCTCCACCATCTTGCTTGCCAGCACACTGGTAAGTAGCCCCCCCCACCACAAACTCTTCCCCCACCCCACCTCATGGCCCTTGGCCACAGTGATGAGGGGGGCAGCAGCTGGGAGAATTGGGGGGGAGAAAAAAGGCCCTTGGTGGACAAGAGAGCTGAGGGGAGATAAAAGGGTGGGACCCCACACCCTGAGCCCCCAAACATCACTCACACCCCTCCTACCCTCCACCTCCTGCACTTCCCTCCCCCACATTCCCAAGGCTCTGCCCTGACTCCTGCACCCTCCACACTGCCAGCTCCCTGCCCTGAAGGACCTGGGCAATGCCAGGTAACTCTGCTAGTTTATTGTATATTTGAGAGCATTTGTCTGTCTGTGAATGTGCGTGTTTGTTCAAGAATGCCTCCTAAGTGGTAAGAGCTAGGACCACCATATTCACTATACAGATTCCTCTTATTATAACTTAAACCAAGGTCAGGGTTTCATTGTGCCAGGAAAATGGGATGTGCCTGAAATGGGATTGCTTCTCAGTCACAGGATTCATACAGGGACATTGCTGGTTGTTCAACTTCATCAGGGGAGAAAGTGCACAGTTTGCTGCATTCTTCACTCTGGTGGGAAGTGCAGGGGGCAGACAAACCTGGACCTGACCCAACCAGGGGACATGCAGCTTCTCACCTGGCTCCAAGCTGCTGCAGTGAGAGAAGGCTGGGGTCGTACTCCTTCCTCCAGCCTGCATACTGAACCCATCATCCCCAGCCCCACCCCAGATCTCCTGATCAGATCAGATCTAGTCTGATCTCCTGTATAGGAGGCTATAGAACTTCCAAACATAATCCAGCGTCAAGCCCAATTACTTCTGGCTGTGCTAGAAACCCTGATGGATAACCAGCTGCAGTTGTACTCAAGTAGTTTCAATGGCACGGGGAACAGGATCACTGTGTTTTTTTTTTTTAATTTCAATCTAATTTTGCATTTTCATTTGAAGTGAAACTAAAATATGAATGTCAATATAAAATGCTGAAAAGAAACACGTCCTTTTATGTTACCCTTTATACCTGGCATTGTCATTGTCTTTTACTAAACTAGCAAAACAAAGACTTAGAATCAATTTGATGCCTCACTATAAATGCATCAGAGAGGTAAACACCAGGAAAGGAAAGAGCTATTTATGATAAACAGTACTGTCGGCAGAAGAACAAATAAGCACAGTCTGGTCATGAAGATATTTAGGCTGAAGGTTAGAAGGTTTCTAACCATTGAGAAGGGTTTTGCAACAGTCTCCCAAAAGCAGAAGTGGGAACAAACAATCTAAGTTCAAAATGGAGCTTATTAAGTTTATATATATATGATTATATGATGAGGTTACTGGCAGTAGCAGGGACTAGATTCAGTGAACCAGGAGGTCCCTTCCAGTCCTAGGTTCCTGTTGTTATCAGTAGTAAGAGCAAAGTTGTATGGTGGCATCACCTGGAGGATTCTCCCAGGCCGGCTCCCATTGTGCAATCACACAGTTAGTGCAATATTATGTCTGACTGCAAGCGTTCAGTCCATATGTCAAATTCCACATTTGTCAATTGCTTCTTTTTTTTAACTAAACTCATGCTACATGCTATTAAAAGCACATGCTACATACCTGGCAAACATCATAGTGCTCAAAGAGAGACAGCAAGCCGATGTCACTGCGGTTAGTGATACCTTTCAAAACTGTGATATTTCCATTTCCGGAGTCCAGCTCTATTACATCATTGAACACATTGGACACAGCTTTACCAGTCAGCAGCAAGTTGACAAGTTCCTGTTTATAATATATATATGTATATATATAAAAAGTCATGATCTGTGCATCTCACCGGATCACTGAGGATCATCATAATATATAGTATGTGGATATTTTTCCATGTGTTTAAGGCTGCACCACAGCTTTTATTTAAGTGGGGGTGTTTCCCATATCTGGAATAAAGGGGTCAGCTAAGCAGATGACTTTTCAAAGGGTATGCTTCAGGGTTCCTATCCCAAAACATCAACTGGATTAAAAAAGCCAGCCAGATTAGGGCAGGGAAGACTCCTCACATCCAATACAACCTTAATGCCAATATTACACACAACCTTTCTAGGTTGGAGCCTCCTTTTTCCAAGTCAATCATTTTCACTATCTCCTGACATTACTATAACAATAAGAATTACAAAAAAGTATCAACAATAATGCAAAGCCTATGTAATCAATATGTGCTTGTACGCGAGACAGTAATAGAGAATACTTGAATTTGAAAGATGAGGGTATAAAAGAAGTGGGGGAGTGTGATTTTCTTCACTTTACATTGTAATCATATTTTCATTTGGCTTGTGAACCTCCCCGCTGTCTCGCCCGATTGCCTTTCATTACTAATTCCCCTGAAGTTCCCCCATTCCCATTACCCAAACCCACTGATTGAGAAACATTGCCACATCAAAAGGCATTATCAAGGTACAGTTAAGAAAGAGTGGGGGATACAAGCATTTTATAGTACTTTCCTGATATTTCTGTGTGTGTGTGCACACGCGCTTATTTTTTTCTATCAGATCAGGTTTGCCAAAAGGTTTACTAATGTTTGTGAACCTGCATTCACTCAGAGATGGATTTACCTTCTAGATGCCTATTCATAGGGCCTGTGTCACCATGGCTTGGAAAGCCAGTCTGAACTCCAGGCCTTCCACTGCACTGGGATTTACCATTGAAGATCATAGCAGAGAACACTGCAAAGAGATGGCTCCACCATGGAAGGACAGAATTAAAATCCTACAAGGATCTCAGAAGACTGTGACTGTGTCAGTGACTTGAGTCGTTTGGGGTTTGACCTGCTCTGTGCTTTGATAATTTGAATTCCAAAGCACATCTCAAAGCATGGAATGTCATGTGTCTCTAAGCCAAAGAAAATCGTTCTCCTGTGAACTGAAACCGCCGAAATTCATAAAGCCAATGGGTGGCTATCCATGGAAAGAATTTTATCTAGTCTCATTGAAATTCAAATTCAGGCAGGATAGATTCCTACCATTTTTTTTTCATAAAGAAAGGCCAAAAACCAAGTGTCCTATGGGTGCATTCATTTTTCTAAGGAAAAAGATTAGATGAAATCTTGCTTATGGAAAATATCCTTGCATGCTTTAACAATGTAGTAAATGAATCCAGCGCAACTCAGAAACACCCTCATTAGCCTTTTACAATAGTCAGTGGTGGGCTTAGTTAGATGCCATCTGCACCCCGTACGCAATACGTACAACATCTGCCAGCCTCTGCTGATTCTGTCCCCTCTAATATTACTATGGGTGTCCATGGAATTAGTGTGGCATGTGTATATAAAGCTTATGGAACAGAATGGGACACCACGTACATCTCACTTTTCATAAGGCGTCCATAAAACCCATTGACACTAATGGCACATGGCAATACACAGAAGTGGATTACACCACACACAAAAAAGAAATTGTATATTATTGCTGAGCATTAATATACAACACATGTGAAGTTCCAGAGAGAAAAACAGAATGCAAAGAGAATTTTCAGGAAAAAAGATTCAAGTTGCCAGAGCTTGAAGGCAGAAAGAATTAAGAAACTGCCAGTTTAGATTTGATTTATGATACCAATAATACATGTATATATTTACAGCCATCTTTCATCCCAAAAGAGCCAAAGAGTTTTATAGACTTGCCCTGCTGTACAAACTACATAAAGGGAGCTTTTAATCCACCAGGGAAGCACCAAAGATGTTTAACACCATACAGCCATTCTGCAAAACAAGACTGAACCATAGAATACTAGGACTGGAAGGGACCTCGAGAGGTCATCGAATCCAGTCCCCTGCCCCCATGGCAGGACCAAATACTGTCTAGACCATCCCTGATAGACATTTATCTAACCTACTCTTAAATATCTCCAGAGATGGGGATTCCACAACCTCCCTGGGCAATTTATTCCAGTGTTTAAGTACCCTGACAGTTAGGAACTTTTTCCTAATGTCCAACTTAAACCTCCCTTGCTGCAGTTTAAGCCCATTGCTTCTTGTTCTATCCTAAGAGGCCAAGATGAACAAGTTTTCTCCCTCCTCCTTATGACACCCTTTTAGATACCTGAAAACGACTATCATGTCCCCCCTCAGTCTTCTCTTTACTAAACTAAACAAACTCAATTCTTTCAGCCTTCCTTCATAGGTCATGTTCTCTAGACCTTTAATCATTCTTGTTGCTCTTCTCTGGACCCTCTCCAATTTCTCCACATCTTTCTTGAAATGCGGTGCCCAGAACTGGACACAATACTCTAACTGAGGCCTAACTAGCGCAGAGTAGAGTGGAAAGGACTGAGAAAAGAAGTGAAGAATTCCCTTTTTCCTGTAGGAATAATTTTGGTACTGTACAGAGAATGCCTTCAATATAGGTTTGATTGTGGCAATAAGATTACAACTACTTGTTTTATGAGCTTTAGCTTGGACATGAGGAAAAACATCGTAACTGTCAGGGTGGTTAAGTACTCGAATAAATTGTCTGGGAAAGTTGTGGAATCTCCATCAATGGAGATTTTTAAGAGCAGGTTAGATAAACAACTTCCAGGGATGGTCTAGATGGTGCTGAGTCCTGCCTTGAGTGCAGAGGACTGGAGCTGATGACCACTTGAGGTTCCTACAAGTTCTGTGATTCTATACCAATTGAATTATTACAAGTTTTCCGGACCTCAATTTTATTTCTCATTGGAAGAGAGGAACTCTGTCAGTCCTGCAGCATTAGTTCAATACTAACTAGGAAGGAAGAACATTAACTTCTCAGAAATAGACACTGCTTCCTGAATTATTAATGCTTACATGTAACTCAGTGCATATATTGTTAGATTCTCTCCTCCCCCAAGAACCCAGAAAGTGAGCATCCATTTTGTTAAATGGGAGTGGGAGAAAGATACACCAGGAACCCAACTCAGATATTGATTAAAAGCCTACTGACTTCAGCAGGCTTTCAATAAGTCACAACTGAGCTTGCAAAAATAAAGAAATGGAAAAAAAAGTAAAATTAGAAAAGTAGAAAATAATAAAACATTGTTTCAGGCAGGTAAGGACAATATTCAAAAAGCAAGAGATTCTCAGAACAATGAAGAGAAAGCAAATGTGTCACAAAAGAAAAAAAGGAGGAAGATTCTTGAGAGAGGGAAAACGTGAGGAACTTGACAGTCAAGAGTGTTGATTCTTCATGGAATATAGTTCATATCATGACAGCTTTTTGCATTTGCTGTCTTTAGCTCTCAGTGTCCTCCCCTACTTACTTGTGTACAGTATCCATGGGTGCCAATCAATCGGTTTGTGAGAACATCAAAATCACTGCGCACCCTGAAAAAAAGGTTTGGGAAGATTTAATCATAATTTCACAGGATTTAATACTTCTAAGGCTTGGAAAGTTGCAAATATGGCTCTTACTTGTATTTGTTTTGGGTACATTTCTTTATGAAAAAAATACGCCTATTTATGTGGAGTAACCTAAAACTTGCTGAACACAGCATAAGTTCTTTTACAAGATATTAGTAATTACATGCTAAACTACAGCAGGAAAGAGAAAGGGAACAGTTAAAGCTACAAAACTCACAACAACTGGTTCAGCTACTCTGATACTCTCTCTCAGATAGTGGTCAGCATCAGATGATGCAGAAGACAAATCAAGAAACATCCCAGTGGACAATTATGGAATCCTCCCTAAAGAGGATGCTCTTTTCCTAAATCCCATCAGTTTGGGTGCATCTGCACTGAAAGGCTTAACTTGAAATAAGTTATGTAAATTAAGCTACGTCAATTTCTTATTTTGAAATTGAAATAGAGCACTCTTCCTCCAACTTCCCTTACTCCTTATACAATGAAGATTACAGGAGTCAGAGTAAGAAGTCCTCCAGCTTGACGGTATTTTGACACTATTTTGACAATAACTGCCTGCTGTGTAGACGTGAACTAAGTTATTTTGGAATAGTGTGCTAGTTATTTGGAAATAGTATTGCAATGTAGATGTACCCTCTGTGGTTGGTTTATGGCTTGGGCCATAAAGGTTTCTATCCCTTATTATTTTTAAACTTTAATAAGAAAAGCAAAAAAAGATTTTGAGGATCAGCTAGCCAAAAACTCAAAAAGAAATAACAAAATGTTTTTTAAGTACATTAGAAGCAGGAAGCCTGCTAAAAAGCCTGTGGGTCCCCTAGATGATCGAGCTATAAAAGGAGCAATCAAGGACGATAAAGCCATTGTGGAGAAACTAACTGATTTCTTTGCTTCAATCTTCACGGCTGAGGATATTGGGGAGATTCCTGAATCTGCACCGTCCTTTGTGGGTGATGAATCTGAGGAACTGTCCCGGATTGAAGTGTCATTAGAGGAAGTTTTGGAACAAATAGAAAAACTTAATGTTAACAAATCTCCGGGACCGGATGGCATTCATCCAAGGGTTCTAAAAGAACTTAAATGGGAAATTGCTGAGCTATTATCTGTGGTTTGTAACCTATCCTTTAAATCGGCTTCCGTACCTAATGACTGGAAGGTAGCCAACGTGACACCAATATTTTAAAAAGGCTCTAGAGGCGATCCTGGCAATTACAGACCGGTAAGTCTAACTTCAGTACCGGGCAAATTAGTCGAAACAATAATAAAGAATAAAATTGTGAAGCATGTAGAAGAACATAATTTGTTGGACAAAAGTCAACATGGCTTCT